CACTGTCGTTTTCAATTATATGTGAACTACCCTTTAACGTATTTCAAGAATTTGCGAAGCGCCAGGTGTTGGGAACTTTATTTCATTCGAAAAAGCTTCTAACGAAGTGATTGATCGAGATGCAGTAAGACATGAAATGGAAATTCTTAATCAATTTCACGGTGGCCTGATTTCTGTTGATTAATTTAGTCATAGTTATGGCAAACTCAAATTGGTAATAAAGGTATTGACATTTGGCACTCCATAAATCCTCGGACTAACATATGCATAGATTAAAGTTACTTAGCTTGCATGAATACTAAACATAAAAATCTCTTCCCCCCCCCCGCCCTACCCCCCCCCCCCTTATTCACCAAAGAAGGCGCATCTGTAATGTTTATGAAATGATAACGAAATGACAGTGGATATCAAATAAACATTACCCTCCGTTTATCTGGATACGTCATTGGAAGGCGCTTTAGAAAAGAAGCTTTGTAAACTTTTTCTCTTGTTCTCATTAACCCCGCCCCTTGATTACAATGAGAAAAAAATGCATTGAATCTGAGGCATGCAAGTCTCAATGAACCCCCACCCCTTCGTGTATCAATCTCTAGATACGCAACTTGAAGTTACTTCATTTTTTTCTCCCATCACTATCATTTCCCAGCGCGCACGAGTTTGCCTGAAGCAGCATGTCTATGTGGAATAGCGAATTGGAAGCCGGGGCTAAGCAATAGAAAGCCTCTCGTGGGGCATGATAGTGGAACACACTGATTTCCGCTCAATTGACCGAACTTTTTTCTCTTCCTCTTTGGGTATTATCTCTCTATATGTTATCTGTTTCTCTCTCTATATCTCTCTCTCTCTCCTTTATGTTTTCTTATAATTTATGTTTCAATTTTTTTAGTTTGTTTCACTAGCCCCCCCCCCATCCCTCTCTCTCTCTCTCCCTTTTTTTGTTATATATTTTGCTATCTGGTTATATTTTTCCCCTTTTTTCGCCTTGTCTCCTCTTTCTTATTCTATTTCTCTTCTTCCTCTCCCCCTCTCTCTCTCTCTCTCTCTCTCTTTCTTCTTTATCTTACCCTCTCTCACTCTTACTTCTCCTCTCTCTCTCTCTCTCTCTCTCTCTCTCTCTCTCTCTTAAACCACTGAAAATATCATGTTCAGAACATACCATTCCATCTGTGGTTAAATTGAACCATCGTGCAAAGCGATTATGCACCTATTTTAATACTTGGCTTGTACCTCATTAAGGAGGTGTAACACAATTGGTTTTAATGGAATGTTCTCTGCCCATACCTCACCTTATACTTACAAATATGGAAAAATTGGGCAAAATGTATTCGTCCGCTTCTTCAACCCCACCAAATTCTCCATGTACCGGTACTAACTACGAATAAGTAATTATTAAGCAGTATGCATTGCAATATCTTGAAATAACATTACATGGGGATTTACCTAAAATTAGTTTTATCTGTCAAGTCGTTGGAGTATTAATACACATCCACTGAGGCGGTGTGGTCGTCAGGTGGCGTACAGTTTGCACAACATGCGGATAACGTAGCTTAGTATGAGCCGTATATTACTCTCATAGAGAACACCTTACACCGTGTCAACTACCGCAAAAGTGGACTTATATATATATATATATATATATATATATATATATATATATATATATATATATATATATATATATATATATTTAAAATATACCCTTGAAGAAACCATCTGAATCCCTTGAATTAAATATAACATTGGGTTGCCGCATGAAACTGCATCATGAAAATGAATAATTATATATTGATAAAAATGAATGAATAGAGACAGAGGAAGGGCGAAATTCAGGCACAAATACAATCAAGGACAGAATAAAGGACAAAACACACTTTTATGGAAGATCACAGCCAAAGTCGAAAATCAAGTAGAGGTAGTGGTGGCTTATGAAATTAAACCCAGGCAATTCAATAAGACGAGAGCTGAGTGTAATGTGGTGAGGTGGACTGTTTTCCTGGAATGTCAGATTTAGTTTCATTGACAAGATTTCAGAAGTGTGATGAGATGATGGCTTTATCTTCAACGAGGCTTCCATTTTATGTTTCCTGACTATATCCCATTTTAGACATGATTTTGAATATCAAGCTAAAGATGTGTGTCAAAATTGGTCAGAATCTAATAAGTCTTCATTTTGCAAAGTACGATATGGATTTTCCTTCATTGAATAAAAAATAGCTATTGAAAGTCGTTTGAATTTTACGGTTGGTTTGGTTTGGATTATTTCACAGATCATTTATATTTATGGAGCCAAGACAGAATACAGTGCAAGAACCCCACTCGATATGGCTATGTATATGACAAAATGTCTATATGAATCCCCTATATTATAAGCACAATGACGTAACAACTAGGAACCTGGACATGTACGTATTTCATCCACATAGTAAGACAGGGGACCCCCTCCCCCCTCATGGAACAATCGCCCCTTAAAGGGACTTGATAACATTGATCAAATGAGAAAAAAAATTGTGCTAAGGTAGTGACTTCAATGCTAGATATACAATTAAAGATAATCTGAAAGTTTGAGTGAAAACGAACTATTATTAATGATAACAATTGGGAAAAACTGATCTGATCGATTCTTTAGTCATTTTTCCCAACTATATTATTACAATTTAATTAAATTTTAGGTTAATGTAAACCATCACAAAGCAATGAATTGGATCTATATACCATTCCCGACATTTAAGTGTAGATTTTTTTTAAAGTAAGCCTGTCTTATGTTTTATTTTCAAGGAAAAACTGTTGGGATCATTCAAAAATGGTTGGGAGAATTTACTGTGAATTACTTTTAGAGGGTATTGCATAGTGACGCCTTCAAAGAAAACCATTAATATCTTTGGGGTTTGAGAATTTTCTCAGGATTTTTTGCCTGTTAGAGGGTAAGTACAGCTGTAGAAAAAATATAATAATGAACATTTTATACACAAATTACACAGTTTTTTCATCAATCTTCAACAATATTATTCCGAGTCACTTTAATGGTTTGACCCTATCTACGCCATTGTCTACAGAGTGCCAAAGTACACACTGTGTTGATAAAGGTCACAGTGGGCCTATTTTAGCCTGGGATTGAATACGGACCAAAATCTGCGGACCGTTATCTTTAACATCCGTCATCTATTCCCTGCCCCACCCGCCCCACATTCGCCTTTACGAAAATACCCACCGATTCACTATTAATACATGCGAGTTACTGCATAAACCTGAATATACAACCATTATAATTGGCTATCAACACATACAGCATAAATTGCAGGTTAGGAACTGGACACTGATTGGTCACTAGTAGTTTGCGAACGATTCAAATGTTTTCAGCCGCAAGCCGTAAGGAAGCAGTAGGCGCACTAGTCGTACCAGTAAGCCTTGTCTTTTAGAGCCCCCTTACATACATCAAGATAATACCCTTTAGGTGATCGATGAATACCCTGAAGACAATAAATAGAAAAAAATGTACCAATTCCCCTTCTCACAGAGGAAACCTCATATCATGTTATATTTCGTTCCCATTTGATATAAAGCTGCTGAGTCTTTAAGTGATCCTATAGTTCCTCTGAGTTCACAGTTTGTTGCGTTGATTTAGCCCCAGGCACCCTGCCAATATTTCTATTCATGATAACCGATGGGGATATTTTCTCCCTCAGTGCATGGATCCAGTTGAAACCCCTCATCAAACCTAGAGCAAAATTGTTATCGCTTGAAATATTTTGACGCGTGCGCGAGTCTCTCTCGAGAGAGTGTGAGATTATTGAAAAGGTGAAATCGAATCATTCTCTTCATTTGTTCCTGGAATAAAATCCTAAAAAATATGGAGACTCGTAACCTGATAAGGACGTGGAGGATGATTACTGTCTTGTTTAAAGACTGAGGAAATAAACAAGAATAAAGAATAAAGAAAAGCAGATGTTGACATGACAACTTTAATATATTTACAATCAACGAAGTTGAAAACAGATGTATTGTAATATTCCTTGAAATATATGTAGGGAAACGTAAAACGATATCATCATGGGTTCTCGGGGGAATATTCAAGACAATTCGGGTATTTATCCAATAAAAGACGTTTTCAGTTACCGAGAGTGGGCTTTGCTTTTCAACCGATGCATCTATAATGTGCAAAACCCTCTACGAAATTCAGAAACACTACCTCTTAAAGGGAAGACATCATCATACATTCCTCAACCGAACAATGATGATTAAACGCTCTTCGATCTTTAGCCGTAAGGTTAAGTTCCGGGTGATTTTGAAGTGGGCACCGAGTTTCGCTGCGTTCGATATTCGTACACACTACTGGTGTAAGCGAATTGAACTGCGGCGCATCGCACGTATAGAAACTCACGAACGTATGCCTTCAAACTTGCAAATATTATAACGTATTGATGATATGAAAACAACTTGGCCTATTTAGAACATGCACATGTTCTACAAGTTCAAACAAAAAAAGCAGCAGTTGTAGCAGTTACGGTGGTACATGTAGGTGTTAAAGCCTCTGGAAGTAGGAGTTATGATAGCAATGACAGAGATCGTAGTAGTAACCGAGGTTAAAGTATTAGTATAAGGAGCAGGAATACTGGTTGTAGTCAGGCATACCCGAACTGGAAGACAGAGAACTTGTAAAGTCTCAATAAAATCCTAATAATTTAATTCTAAACTATCTAAAGTTGCTTAAAATAAAATATAAGGGAAGAGTCAAGAAAGTGAATAACCAATACATCAAATTTGAGAATAGCAGTACGTTCGAATAAATGTTCCTTCAAATAAACGAGTTAAGACAACAAACCTTCTAATAAACAAATCTTTGGATATTACGAATCCTCGAATACACAAATCGATTTTTTTCAACGCCTCTCATTCTAAATTACTCAATATATATATCTATTTTTTTGTATCTTACTTCAAAATGATAAATCATTGAGGTAATTTATTACTGTCATTTTTTTTTCTCCTCCTCTGGCAGCATCATGTACGTAAACGCCCTCACATTCCCTCTGGCAGTAGCCATCTTTCTAGTTGGACTTGCCATACTACCCGGCATGCTAGCAGAAGATGGAATGGAACTCACACATGACGAACAGGTATGAATCGATCAACGTTACTCATTCAAATTGTCAACACGAATATGTTTCTTTTATTGCAATATTGTATAATATATACAAAAGTGATGTACATATATATTTGAAAATATGAACATTGAAGGAAACTATGTCGAAAGTTAATTTTAATACTAGCTATTTTTTTTATTTTATTTTATTTATTTTTTTTTGGGGGGGGGGGAGAATTTCCGACATGTTGCCATTTTCAGGATATAATCATTGATTTTACTATTTACACCGCAAAGTCTAGCATTAAGTGCCATATAGTAAAGCACAACTTAATAGATTCTTAGTTTAATTGTTAGGATTCTGTGGCAAAAATTAATTAAGCGTAACCAACCACGAACAGAAATGGGGCACTTGTTCTGAACGAGCAACGCAGTACATAATTATTTTTTTTGTTTGGGTGTTTCCAATAAAAATATTACATGTTCAGGCATGTAAATTGTTCTCTGTGATTCATGATGTTTGCTAACTTCTTTAATATTTTTATTGGAGCTTCCAAATGAAGAACACTCACTTTACGGTGATGTACATCTTTGTCATGTTTGCTGTCCCTATTGAAAGCCATCCCCATGTATTTTCACCACAATCAAACGTATTCGTTCACCAGATATTTTCCTGAGGGCTCGCTTTGATGAGTAGAGTCTTTCATTCATTCGGCATTCGTCAAATCATATTAACCTACTTTTCATATTTTTCGATTAATACATGATGATGGAATGAAGCATGGGAAGAGCTCTTGGGTTGTGTAGACTGAAGAGCGCTTTTAAAAAAAAGTGGAATAGAAGAAATATGAAATAAAAAAGGGTCTCCAGGCACCTGGATATATCTGTACATTGTGGGAGGAAATGGGAGAATAGTGATGCGTGACCAAAACGAATTTCCATGTATTCTTGTAAATTTGGATGAATAAAAGAATTGAATTGAATTGAATTACATTACATAATGCTATCAATACAATACCAAATGTCTTGTAAAGTTCGACTGCTCTTGATTCTAGAGGTTTGTCAGACATAGCAAAGATAGTAATTGTACAGCAAGTGTTTAGATGTACATATATATCGAAGAGCGTGGATGAAGCAACATTTCGAATAGGCTGTTGGGCAAATCTCCCAACAGAAAATGAACATTTGCAAACAATTATATATATATATATATATATATATTTTATTTTAAAGTCCTTAATCGTAATGCGTTCCAACAAGATTTTTGTTAACGAATTTGTCTGACATGACTATCATTGGGTATCATATTCCCTTTATGGTACACACATGCAGGCACCATGTTATCAATGCCTCTGATGACAAGAAGCTTATATAACATTTGTAAATGCCTTTGAACTGTACATTGAGTTGGACATTATTCTATTTCATTCTTAATGTGTATTTGCTGCATATTTCGTACACGTCCTAGTTTTAAAAGTAAACAGTATACAAGCACGAACACAAAGAGTTTCAAGTAATCAACCTACGGTAACATCAGTAGCCTCGTCCGTCATCCTCTCAAATGTGCGAGTATTAAAATCACATATCCAATCATCCATACACCATCATCATCACATATTTAATCATTCGAATAGGATTTCTACTGGCAATACAATATGGTATTGAAATTACCTTGATAATTTGTTCTTGGAGTTTTTGCAATTTTCTTGTTTCATTGTAGCAAATCGGTGCATTTTGATTACAAAATAATACTATTTCTCTTTGAATCAACAGCCCCTTAATGCTATGGAGATCAGAAGCCCACAAGATGAACAGATTGACCTACGATATCTTCTCCAGAACTTCCTTGACAACCGCGATACTCGATCATGGAGCCCCCTTAGGAATTCGAAACAATGCATGTAAGTATTACCGATTCCTTCTGATAACACTCCAAAAGCATTTAAATCCTGAGATCTTCTGGTAACACTCCAAGAGCATTACACGTCATGTGACCTGTGTTGCCTAGGCCCTGATGCACAGAATCGAATGATGAACATCGATAACATTTTAACGACAATTATACGATCTGGTAAAATGTTTTTATTTTTTTCGTATTCTTTTTCTGAAGGTTTCATATTTCGAATTCAAGGTTCGTAGTTCCGAAATTAGACAAATAGCAATGAGAAAATTTGAAGTAATACGAACCATCTCCTTTTTTATTACGTTATTGATATACAGTAAATAACATTGGTATAAGAAATAAATAAATGAATAAATAAACAGACAAATGAACACAATTGATATTCTCATTATATACATCTTTCCTTTCTCTCTCTCTCTCTCACACACCAAAACCTCCTCAAACTAATCTGATTATACCTATTAATCACTCTTTTTTTTTCTCTTTCATTTCCATTCAGTGGTGATAAGTGCCGATATGCCTGGAAACGAGGATTCGAGACCCCTGCATCATCCAGGATAAACTCCCGGGGAGCTCCTGCGTGGGCTACGTCTCAGTTCAGCAACGGCGGCTGCAGCGGCTCCTCCTGTTTAACCGGTTGGAAGCGAGGCTTTAGAGTTCTCCCGCAGCTAAATGACGACGACAATTAGGGAAATCAACAGCTAAAAACCTGAACTCTAGCAAACAGAATTAACTATTTTATCCCTTGTAGAAACTCCGGATCACACTAGAAAAGTGAATTTTCTTTGTATTTTCTTTTCATTTCCTCGTCTAATCTTCAGTTATGATGTCGTTCTTCTAATTTGAATTGATTCACGTATCTGTAAATATGCAAAGATTTAGGAATTAGAGTGCAATAGGACTCGAAATCCCTCTATTTAATCATTCTTATATTCTCACAAAAGTGTTTACTAATTTCTTCCAAAATGCTTTGTTCCTTCGAACACTGTCCTGATGTTATATCAACTGTAGTTTATTAATGTTGTCTTCATCATGTTCATGTAGACCCGTTTTCCACAGTGAGACCAATATTTCCCCCTCAGAGCCATGTCTGCCATCTACCTAAGCATTTATTTTGAGTTCATTGACGAGGTTTCAAAAGGACATCATGAGTATTAAACTGCGAACTACCCAAGACAAACTATTCCTCACAACTACCAAGCTGCATTCGTGAGTTCGTGAATATATGCTAAATATATCTCAGAATAACTAAGTAACATCCAAATAAAGAAGAAACCATGTAAGTTTATGGCAATATCGTGATAAAGTTGCACTGATACCAGATAATGCTATTATTCATTTACGTCCTTACCGGTTCTGTATGAATGTTTCCATGTTAGCGAATATGTTTTGTATGTTGGTTTTTAGTGTTACCCCATAATCGGGTCATTTCCTGGAAATAACTTGATTACGTGATTCTTAGAGGTCTTTCTTCTACTCCGAGGGGTGCCTCATATTGACCAGCCATGCGGGACGACGTGTTTTGCTCATGAGCCAATCGACATTAATAATACATTACTTAGATCTTGTTGGAAGTATGTGGCTCAGTCACGAAGTGTAATTAAACAACGTTCATCAATATGAATTCAAAAAGGATCATTTCCCCCATGTGCTTTTTCTCACACCGTTGAGTGTTTTAGGTCTGAAAATCGTGAACAATCCAACACTTGGCATGGATACATATTGAAATGCATTTTAGTCAAGGAGTAAGATCGAACACTTATGGGATTACAAACCAAGATGCATTACATTATCCCTAGTGCAAGTAGACGCAGCAGTTTACCCCCTTCGTGTTGTCTAAAAGTATTTGTAATAATTATGTTAAACCTTATTGAATTTCCTCCTGCAAGCTTCGATAAAATGTAAGCTTCTTTATCCGTCGTGTAATACTGCAAGACAAATTGATACATTTTAGTAAGGAGACAATGATTCCTCAGTTAACCTGTGACGAACCAATCAGAGACGCGAACAGTTGACCACAAAAATTATAGACGCAACAATACCAGCTAGCTGGTTTTGTCATCTTACGTGGCGCCTTTGTATACTGCTCAGCTATTGGTTGATACCAATCGGGTCACGTGACAAGAGCCCAGTAAGCAGTTCAACACAGGTTGATGTCAATGTTTTTGATTTATTAAGGTGACATGTCAAAAGTAGCACTACCAAATTCAGCAATGTGCGTATTCGAGCGTTTGTCTCTGCAATCCTTGCTTGTTAAATTAATAGCATGTAAGAATTAAATATTTAATGACAAAAATAACTTATATTTAATTTTTTTAAATCGTAATTTAGTGGGGTCTCATCTAAGAATATAATATTGGAAGGTTATTGATTCTTTCAACTAGTTAAAAAGGGGTTGCAAGATGTGATGCATTGTCAAATGTGTAAATTATAGGGCTTCAATAATTCAATACAAATTGCAACCAAAATTCATTCTGGATTATGCGTCTCGTATAGTGTTTCACTAAGCATTAATAAACGTTAGATTTTCGTGAATTGTATTGAGTAGTCTTATTTTTATATTTTGTTCTACCGTTATAACAGGAATTGACTGCGACCATAATAAAAAGTAATTATATATTACAGTTTATTTACAACATCAGAAACAAATGAATTCCAAGGCACATCAAGACTATTACTTCGGTAATAACTTCTACTACTACTATAACTGCTACCGCTGCTGCTGATACTACTACTACTACTACCACTGTCGGTACCATTACCACCTCCACAACTATGCTTTAATCACAGCCAATATCATTACTACTAATCACAACTACTAATATTAGAATTCACTGTATACACATCAACTGCTAATACAACAACAACAACAACAGCTACAAGTTATGATGACAGTTAAAGTAGTAACTTCACATCACATCACTTACATCACATCACATCACATCACATGGGATTACATTATATCACACCCATTACATCACATCGCATCCATTACATCACATCACATCACATCACATCACACCTCATCACATCACATCACACCTCATCACATCACATAATATCACATCACATCACATCACATCACATCACATCACATCACATCACATCACATCACATCACACCACATCACACCACATCACATCACACCTCATCACATCACATCACACCTCATCACATCACATCACACCTCGTTACATCACATCACATCACATCACATCACATCGCATCACACCTCATCACATCACATCACACCTCGTCACATCACATCACATCACATCACATCACATCACACCTCATCACATCACATCACACCTCGTCACATCACATCACACCTCGTCACATCACATCACATCACATCACATCACATCACATCGCATCACATCGCACTACATCACATTATTTCACATCACACCACATCACATCATATCACACCTCATCACATCACATCACATCACATCACATCACACCTCATCACATCACATCATATCACACCATGTCACATCATATCACATTACATTACATTACATCACATCACATCACTTCTACAACAACTGCCAATAGTACTCAAACTGCTAGGACTACTATTTCTACTGAGGAGGAGGAGGAAAAGGTTAACATAATGATGATGATGATAATGACGAATACGGTGATAAAGATGATACAAAAAGAAGTAGGAAAATAACATTTACAATTTTCCTACTGATGCGACGTTACTGGTCCCCTCTAACTAATTGTTTTGCTCCATTGTTGCTTCTTTGCTATTTGATATGTTAATATTATTGGTGGTGGTTCTGGTGCTGATCGTTGTGGTGGTGGTGGTGGTAGTGGTGGTTGGTATTGTTGCTACCACATTTAGGAGGAGGATAAAGGATGATAATATTAGTTTTATAAATCTTTGTTGTTATTTGTGTTAATGGTGGTGGTGATAATGATGACGACGACAACGATGATGATGATGTTAATGATGATGGGGTACATAAAGGAAGGGTCAGCCCCCCAGTCGTTTTAGGGTTAAGAAAGAACATAATACATCACAAGACCAAACATGAATATTAAAATCCGTATTTTTTTAAAAACGAAACACAGAAGACACCATCATTCGAAAGTACATTTTATATTCAAAATACAGAATAAAAATCACACAGAGTCCTTAATGTTTTCGGGTTGTTCAATCTTCACAATGCCTATTACTGTACATTTTGCGTTATGGAAGAATTTGATTTTCGAATCGGATTCCTTTTAAAATTCAGGTTACACGTTTCAATTACAAGAAAACCCTATTCCGAATAACCTCCGTGTGAACGCAAAAGAGTTGGAAAACCAAATCGGGAGCGTTCCGGTCATACCTAATTGTCTTAAATTGTCAGCCAGCTTCAAGGCATTTGCTCATTGTTCTTATTTCGGATGTGATGTTATTGTTATGTTTGTTTGTTTATAGTTTATTGTAGACCATGTATATTGGCCATTTAATTAATAACTTGACTCTTTTTACAAAACTGACAAATTTGACCTATTTTCCTACCTATATGTACATTTATTTGATTTCCGTCTTTACAAAATGAAATTCAACAAATCAAATCAATTTATTCCCCCCAGTGAGAAAAAAAATGAACAAACATGACGACTTTGGAAAATGTAGGTCATTTTCCAAAATCAATGCAACCATTTAGAATTATTGAGACGTCTCGGAAAGACAAAAATAAATGAGAGTCGGAAAGTCGAATCAAAAAGTTTAATTCATGGTTGCCGAGCAAAGTCATCAATAAAAACCTGCCGCGTTTGAATTTCAATCAAATAAGCAAAAATTGTCCTGAGGTTGGAGAAAACAAATCTAGGATAATTTCATATCGGTGTTCTTGATTTGGTTTACCGACTTTGTTTCGTTGGGATGTGACTTTCTTCATGTAAACGATATGAATCTTGGCTTTAAAATTGACAGGTATGCCCACTTCATGCTTCTTTCGTCTCTGTGTATGGATTTCATAAGCGGACTTTTGTTATCGAACAAATAAGTCAAACGAATTTACAAAGACTATATATTACTATATTCATACATATTTATATCATGGAGGAGTATCCAATACTTATTATTGTTTAAACGCCAAAAAGAAATTTGAAGATAGGCCCGTGTTAATCTCAATCATTTCATTCAAATGTTTTAATAACATATCAAATTGTATTGGCGCTTGGGATTATCATCAGTATCACCAATACTCCCATGAATCTCTCTCTCTCTCTCTCTCTCTATCTTCATCTCTATCTATCTCTCTCTGTCTATCAATGTATCTGCCTACCTGTATGTGAATTTTGTCTCGCACTTCCGTCTATCCGTCTGATCCCCTCTATACTCCTTTCACTATAGTGCCTCTTGTTCCTTTTGTTTTCGATGTATGTATAGTATCAATTCTGTATGTAATACCTCATTTTCTTTCTCTCTTCCCCCACCCCTCTGTCTATCTCTCTGACTCTCTCGATCTCGTTCTTGCTCTCACTCTCTCTTTCTTGCTCTTACTCCCTTCTACTCTCTTATACTGTTTCCTCCTCTCTCCAAATACCTTCAATTAAGCTCTTTAGGTCTTTTTATCAACATTCCCATTTCATCAAAGATATTTCTTGCCCAAAGTAGTCCAGAATCTGGCCAGTTCTTCAAATTCCCTACACACTTGATTCAAGCCTCCGAAGATGGCGTTATCAATGAACTCATAATTATGCTCACTAGCCCAGCCTCAGAACGTTTTTTCCTCGGGTGTCCTAATTTAAAGATCACGCCATCTTCGGCTGGCAGTAAGTAAGTAGGGGGGGGGGGGGGGGTTAGCGTTGGTGTACTGGTGGAGATCAAAATTGAATAGGTAAGATTCTGGACTATGCTTTAAAAAAAGACTACATGCTCGACAGATGTAAACGAAAAGGAACTGCGCCCTCAGCGGCGTTGTTTTTCACAAGCGCTTACAGCTCAGAATCTTCTCCGACGTAACGAAACCTCTCAAAGTGAAAGTGATTTCATGCGCTTAGGTCATTTCATTATTGGTTCTTGTGTCGATAAAACTAATTTCCATGTTTGTCTCGTACATAGAATAAAAAACTATTACTGGTCAAAACAAGCATAGAAATTGTCAACAATGCTCTCCGACTTTATACATACTGGCTACTGCTCTAAACGTAATGCGATTGTGTCGGGAACAGTGCGGCTGCATTTCCAAGGACTGTCTGGAAGATTCAATGAATACGTGATAAAACCACAAACACTCGACCATCATAAACACTTCTCAATAGCACTGTTGACATTTTGTTAAGGGAATATTAGACAAATGACGCCACATAATGGGACAACTCTCCATAAATACAGGAGCGTGAATCCCCTTTTACGAGAGAGAATATAGAAAAGAGCTTAGATTAAATATATGGATGGAGTCCACTCGGATATTACGTTGGTTTTAATAGAAGAAGAAAATGAGAGAAACAGGTCAGTGACAGTTTGATCAAAAGCCAATTAAAATGAGACAGATATGATATGTTAAAGGTGTGATTAATCAAACACATATCGGCAACTCTGTGGCGTATCTTGCGAGCTCCCCTTCAATTTGCCCTGTACTAAACAAATCAAGAATTATATTATCCCTAGCAAATTTTTGATTATACATTCACCCTTTGATATAAGTATTGCAATTTTTGTATATATAACCACTAATTGACACATATCTATCCATCATCAATAACTAAGAAATGAAACTTTATGAGATTTTCTTTACGTAGCAAATTGGAGATGAACTCGCACAATACCTAACCAATATGTGTTTTACAGATTCAAAAATTACTTAGTTTCCTATTTCACACTTTGACTTGATATGATTTGATTTGTTTAATTTGTTTATTTTTGATTTTCTTTTTCTTTTGCAGTTTTATAAATATGTAACAAACAAAACATTGCAAATTTTACACAATCATGACAACAAAATATAAGTAGAATAAAGTAAGACTGGCTGTAACTAATCGAAAACATCAAACAGGAAGGCTGACAAAGTAAGCCAAAGCTTGATAGCATGACTACCTTCAATGAATACAAAATAATACAAATATGGAGGAAAAATATTGGTAAAAGGGGAAAAGAGAGAGAGAGAGAGAAAGAGAGAGAGAGAGAGAGAGAGAGAGAGAGAGAGAGAGAGAGAGAGAGAGAGAGAAAGGAAACGAAATAGGGGGTGTATAAGTTAGGATTTACAGGTGTATGTAGTAGTTGGATTTCAGTTTGATATATAAAGATAAAACAAAGAAGATGCACATTTGAATATTGGGCGACCAACTTTGGATATATTATAGAACTTGTTTCTCTTGTTTTCCTGCTTTTATTCAAACAAACTTAATACCAGGGTGGACTTTCCCTTGTCATGTAATCTAATGTTATGATTGGCAATTGGCAAGTGGTATATTGCAAATACGGTATAAATCATGATCTTAGTCAACTATATTTGTAGTCCTGAAGTCAAGAAAGTCTATTAAAGATACTATGTCCCTTTTTTAGCCAACATCAAATTCTGTAGAACTT